AATTAGTCGACTATTTTAGTCGATTCCAACCTCTAAGTTAAACTAAAAAAAAAGTTTACCCAAGATTTGAACCTCTATTATTATTCTTTTGAACCACCGGAAATTTAGGGACAATTCTTTAAGTTATAGTTCTGATATTGTAAATGGAAAACCCAGTAGGCAACTTCCTCCTCGCCCTAAAGTTTTCCATTGCGCCACATCATTTGGAATGCATAGCTCAGAATTAACCCTTTTCTGAATAAATGATAATTTAATAATAATAACTTGCGAGAAGGATCAATGAAATTATCAAAGAAATCTCAGAGGTAAAAAGTGACAACTACCAAAACTAGAAAAATTTTATTGACTACTAATAAATTGAATTGAAATGTTTTCTTTTTCGAGTAACATCACTATTTCCAGATTTTCTAGTCCAATTATTAGTTTGACGCGTACCAGTAGTAAAATTTTGCATTACATATTAACAACATATGAGATTGCAAATACTAAATCGAAAATCGATTGTCTAATGTTTGTGCAGGGAAACATGGTGGGAGCTTTATTAACTCATGATATATTTAACCTCCAAATAATATGATTAAGCAATATAAGAGTGTCATTTTGAGTTATTTAATGTATATCATATGGTGCGGGAACTTTTAAACCACCATTTATTGCGCCTCGTGGCCAAATTTCAATGTGTCAAATTTTAAAATTTTTCAATCCATCAATGCAATAATAATAATATTTTTAACACAACATCAATTTAAAAATATTGACGTTAATGTTACTGTTACACGATTTTTTAACTCTGACCAGAATTTTTTAAAAAGGATCTGTAGATGTCATAATTACCGCCCAAATTTAAGCGGCCAAATTCCTCGCGAATATATGTACATATGTAAACTCGATAAGTCGGTCACTCGATAAGTTGGCCATATGAGCTCACCCCCACATGACCGACTTATTGAGTTTACATATGTACTAAAAAGAAATAGAACTCAACAGCCCATCAATATTTTGAAAAAAACTCTCTGTCACGTTAAAGATTAGGTCCTAATATATGTCATAACAGAGCTATTTTTTAAAAAATGATATACAGAAATGAACTTCTATTCTTTTAAAATCACATACAGAATTAGTGGTTTAAGAGGACCTGCATCATACTATCCTGATAGATAATTTTAATTAATATACAAATTCATAAATTTTTCTTAAGCTATTTTACAATATAGATGCTGGTCGCAATTCTTGGTGATGGTTGCAACCATATTTGCGACATATAAAGATGGTTTGCGACACCTGGTTGCAACCACCTTTGCGACCACTTTGGTTTCCTTTTTTGGATTGCGACATGGAACACTATTTTACAATTTATTTAAAAAAATGATAACACAGTCAAACCTTGTCACAGCGGATGAACGGACACATTAGAAAATTTTATTTTAAAATTCGTTATAGCAAGATTACTAATTATAGTCTGCTGTGGCAAGGTTACTAATTATAGTCCGCTGTGAGAATGTTTGACTGTAAAAATAGGACCCTGAAATATCATTAGATAGTAACAGGTTTGCGTATTGAAATTTGCCGAAAATTTGCAATCTACTATGTAAAAATGCCATAAAAATAAAAACAATCAATTGATATTATATTGTAAAAAAAAAGTAAATATACTGTATAAATTTAATAATTGTTATTGAACAAAAAAAATTATTTGAAGTAATTCTTACATGTAAATTTAGATAAAAGCAAACCGGGGCATATTCATTGATAAATAGCTGTCCGAAATTAGAAGTTTATTCCATATATTCCTATGGTTATTATCAAGAAGTTTGGCATAAAAGTTAGTCACAAGATTCCCAAGGAAATTCCTCTTTTTTAAAAATAATGCGATCGTGTATCCTACCGAGATTTTAATTCTAAACTAGATAGATTTTCCTTTATAGCAAATTTAAAAGGGGTTCTTAACCAATAATTTAAAGGTAGAAACAATTCACAATGGCTTTTTCTCTTCAATTATACAACAACTCGTGAATAATTTAAATGTGTTTATTTATTGTTATTAATTAATTAATTATTACAAAGTTATTATTACGTGTTTGAAATTCCTCTAATGAATTCAAGATGTTTAAATACTTCTTGACGTTGTGTTGCGCATTGGAATCGGAACGTTTTGGAAGTCACAGGCCTTTCAATAGTTTATGTGCATTGGAATTGGACTTTAAACCATTACAGCCAATAAAATTCAATAATAAAAACGAAATTTTATCGAATTTTCTGTTTTAATATAATTAACTAACGTTAAATACTTTTATTAAAAAATTTCCCATTTTGTAAAACAGTTGATTAAAAAATAATACATGATAAAAGAAGATTTATTAATTAGTATTAATTGGTTTATTTGTTTCTGTTTGACAAGAGCTACATGAACATACATACTTTACAAACAAAAAGCCACAAGTTAAATTTTGTGTTAATGTTTTGAGTGCCAAAGAATGGATGAAATTTTCAATTTAACAGATAACGAAGATGAAGAAGATAGCGTGAAAAGTAAACGACATAAAGATTGGAATTGGAAGTTCCAATCCATTTCAATGTGCATCACTGTTTTGGAGTTCACAAACATACCTTGATGACTAACAGCAAAAGTACCTACCTACCTCTTGACTAAGAACGATATTAATTTGTGTAACAACGTATTTAAAAATAAAATTTGCCATAAAATTTCCTAAGAATTTAAGAAAAAGAATTCGCAAAAACTCTTTAAATAAATCATAAGCCATAAATTAGAAATCCAATAAAACGTAAAAAGTAAAATTGTGTTTGTTTGTTTGCATATTGCCGAAAAAAAAAAAAATAGGTTAAAGCGAAAAGATATTAAAAAAAAAAAAAAAATAAATCGAAATTACCGTGAAATCGAGTTAAAAAAATTGCCGATTGCCAAAAATTTTAAATAATTTTGCCAGAATTAAAATAATAAAATAAATTACAATAAATTAATTATAAACCCTAATTAGAAACCTCGACATTTGCTTGATAGAATGCAATACAAATAGTTTTTGCCTCGACACTTAATCCAAGATATTCCATATTTTGCCAAATATTGTCATAATTATCGATATTCATGAGATCGTATAATTTATCACCATCTCCGGTATACAAATATTCCAAGATTAGTTCGAAGCTCGATGGATCTGGTAAATCTGTGATTATGGCTGAATCATTAGGCTTTGCATATTGATAAATTTTTCGGAAGTAACTGGATTGTGTGACTAGATATTCTTTATGGACCCAGAACGATTGATTCATTCCATTAATCCTCAATTCCAAATCTGCTGTTGTCCTATCATTGAAAAATCCGGGTCCTATTTCGTGAAGATATTCAAGAAGCACGCTCAATGGTTTATCGCTTCCATTTTCAACACCGATCAAGCTACAATCAAATGGCTCTTCACAGCGGTCGACGTAATGATGTTCTATTGTTGTGGTCATTTTGTTATTTTTTAATGTTGGCATTTAAGTTTTTTAAAAAAATATTGATTTTATTAATTTTATTAATTAAATTTGATTTTTCAATTTTTTTTTTTTTTTAGAAAAAAGATTTTGTATTTTGTATTTTGTTATTTTGTTATTTTATTTTTTTTTATTTTTTTGAAAAGATCAATCTCAACCTTGGCCTTTATATACTTACAAAACCACGGATTTCTTCTATGTTTTAATATAAATTGATTTTAAAAATCCTTGTTATCATAGTAAATATATATATATTCATATATTAAAGAATCCAGGATCAATTAATCGTTTAATAAAAAAAAATTTTTCTTGCAATTATTTCCTACAAAGTATTCATTCATTTTCTATAGTCTTTTTCATCACAAAGAAATTTATTAATAAGCAAAAAAATGGCTACTAAAACTTCTAACTTGCTACAATTCACCAACGAAAAAATTCATCCTGAACTACCAAAATTATTTATTTAACACCCTAATTAACATGATCTCCAATCTGTTGTTTTACTGCGTGCGTATATCGCGTTTTATAATAAATCACACGCATACTATAGCGTGCTGTACGTTTATGGTTAAATTTAATTTATTTGCGAATGCAACGTCAGAGGAAAATTAAAAATTTTAATTCAATATCCATATATGTCATCTATGCATACCCAAGTTGCTCAATATGCATACAATAGTAACACAACTTTGACCCATTGTTTTCAACCTATAAATAAAAAAAAATAACAATAGTTTCATGATTTGAAACACATGGCCTATTGTTTGTTGATTATGCAAGGTTTTTTTTTTAAAGATTATCTGTGCACACACGTACATACATTCATATAAGTATAATAGCATCACATAATGGCACATAATAAAATTTTCAAAACTTTTTCCCTAAAGTTTATGAATTTTCCAGTTTTTTTTTATTCATTCATAACTTTTATGGATATCAATATAACCGAATGCGAAATAATTTATTATTGTTTTGGTTTCTTGGGACCAAGTCCATTAAATTTTTTAATTTGAAACACTATTTTAAGTTTTTTCATTTCCACCTTAATTTTTCTTTGTCGACTAACAAATAAACCGGAAAATTATCATATTTGTCAAAAAAAAAAAATACCAAATTACTTATATGTCAATATATAAATGGTATATATTCAATTTGGTGCGTAGCAATCTAAAGTTTCACGTCATTTCTTAATATTGTTCTTGATAATAATAATATTATTAATATATACGGTATTTATATGATATGATATGATGTTAGTTTAATAGTCGTTGTTGTCTTGAAATTTATTCATTATGAAGAAAGGAAATGAAAAAAAAACTTGATAAAACCTGTTAATTTTCTTGCAAATTGGCTATATAGAAATATAAAGGTAATCCAACGTAATAATACTAATAATTACATGATCACAATTAGGATTATGATAATAATATGTAAAACTTTCTTCTTCCTCATTCTTCCTGATTATTCTCGTCATTCATTATTAACAATTCATTCCCCCTTTTTTGTGACCTAATAAATAAATAAATTTCTTTGTTTTTTTGGTGGAAGAAAAAAAACCGCTTATCTAACATATAATGGTCCAGCATTTTTCTTTATTTATTTTACCTAAATTGCAATGAATTTAAAATAAACCAATCAACCCATTTTATTTTGAACGATTGATTTAATGTTGAGTGTACGACGAAGATAACAGATGAATAATAATGCCAAAACTAAACAAAAATAAATTGAATCACCAAAATAGAAACAACACAAGGGAGAAAAGTTCAATTCTTTACCTTTTTGGTTTCATCATTATCCTATTGTTTTATCATATCTTCATTATTATTTTAATGCCAAAGACTATCTTTATACGATTGTTAGTAATTAATTAGTCAATTTATGGTAATTTATTTTCTTTATCATCCATATTTTACATCCTTCGACACATATTGTACATTGATAAATATTAAATACTAAATCTTACAAAAAAAAAAAAAATTATGGACAAAAGAAGAATCTTTAAAAAAACAAAAACAAAAATCTTACGTCTAAAAAAAATTTATTAAATAGGTAAGTTTAAATAAGTAAAAATTATTTTTGATGCTTTTTCTTATTTTTTAAACGACTAACTACTTGCCACTCTTCAACGTCACTTGTAGCACTATCAGAACAGTCGTTCCCTCCACGCCATGCAAAAGTATTTCCATTGCGATGATGATACTTTTGGTGTCTTTGCTTACCAACAACACTTTCACTAACATTAATACTATCACTACCATCAATAACACTATTATTATTACTACCACCACTACTATTACCGCCGTTACTACTAACATTAAGATTTATACCGCCTATCAATTCTTGCAATTCACCTTGTTCACTATTTTCATCCACTTTATACTTTCCCAATTTACCCTCTTCGTCAAGCTCTTCCTTTTCCTCCTCATTTACATCTTCGTTAATATCTGATCCTTCTTCAAACACCACAAACCCTTTTTGTCTCTCGCGTTCATTCCAACGTAAACAACGTGAAATCGAATTGAACCAATCATTGGATTGTGATTCAAGGCATACAGTTGGAAATGGAAACTTTGATGGAGTGACTTTAATATGATCTCCCTCTATTAATAACATCAATCATTATATGATCGTCATTTTAATTCCCTCCCCCCAATATTAAATAATAATACAACTTACGTTTCAACTCAATTCTACCCCTTCCATCAAAACTTGCCCATGCCGTACTACGACTATTGTATGGTACACAGATTCGCAACTCCAATGAATCTGGCAAAAGCATAGGTCGAAACGATAATGTATGCGGACATATGGGCGTGATCAAAAGTGCCGGAATCCCTGGATGAACAAGTGAACCACCGGCCGAAACCGAATAAGCAGTAGATCCTGTAGGTGTGGAAACTACCAACCCATCGGCTTGAACTGTCGTTAAATGTTGATTATCACCAAATAATTCCAACAAGCTCATATACGGTCCAGCTCCACGATCCACCACCAAATCATTTAAAACCTCAAATGATTCTGACGGATGTGTAATCAAACAAGGCAAATCTTTGTCCATTGAACACTGATGATGTTCACTATGATTATGATTCTCCACGTCCGCCCAATTGGATTTGCCATTTATTATATGTTGCATCATTATCTCACCTGTCTCAGTGCATCTTTTAGCTTTTATTTGATGTTCTGGATTTTGAACTCGGCGATATACTGTACAGGTGAATCTCATTCGTAAGTTTACTCGTATCCCTTTTTCCATCGAATTCGTCAGATGTTTTTTATAATCTTTAAAGTCAAAATTTGTTAAAAATCCTAAAGATCCTAAATGAAAAGCTAACACTGGCGGAACAACTTTTTGAAATAACCATGAAGTATACAAAACTGTTCCGTCACCACCAAGCTAAATATAATTTTATTATTAAATAACATAAAAAGATTGATTTAATTACATACTAATAATAAATCTAAAATCCTTACTGTTAACACTAAATTAAAAATCTCAGGACTAGCGGCACACAATTCTGGTGTCCAGAACTTCAAATGACTTCCAATAATCGATGAACCGTTAATCAATCCTTTATAATCAAACTTCTTTGAACTTTTTAATGATATGTCTACGTAAACAATGACTCCGTGACTTTTACCAAACCTAGGCGTAGTAATCAAAGACATCACTAATTCTTTTGTCAGAGCGATTAATTTCGAATCACCAGGTTTTGTCACAATCAATACAGTTTCCACGACACTTTGTATGCGTGCTTGTCCCAATTTTTTAGATATTTCTCGCACTTCAACGGCAGTTTCTGCCAATTCTGAATAATCTGTTGGTTCTTTATTGTCACATATGTTAACAATATCTGATAAAGTTTTCGATAATAATGTTGGATCAATATGTGAATGTACAAAACATGGTGATTTGGGTGTTGTTGTTGTTAGTTGTGATTGCGGTGATGTTGGTGCTTTTGCGCCTAATAGATGATCATTTGATAGAAGTTGTAATTTTGGCTTTTGATTCTTAATGTTATTATTTGTTTTTTGAAAATTGCCCCTACTATTGTTACTGTTGTTGTTGTTGCTGCCACTATTATTGCTAACAGTAGTGGTATTGTTATTATTATTATTATCGTTAATTATTACACTTTTTTTATTCATTTTTACTTTATCACTTACACATACAAGGAACAATAAAATCGATTTTTTTGGTCTGTCGCACCACGTTTTTATTTTGATTGGTCAAAATAATTTATTACATTTCATTATGATTAACGCTATCCCTTAAACGGTTAATCGGCTATTGGTAGCCGATAAAATTATACGAAAATAAAAATGTTCTTTTGAGATTTAGCCGATTAATCTACGGTGCAGATCATCTATGTTGCATAACTTCAAATTTAAAAGAAAATGAGACAAATTTTTTTTTAGATTAATAGACCCTCTTTTTAAAGCTGAATTGAATGGTGGTAGGTTTTTTTTTTAATCCAATATGTAGATCACATAATATTTCAAAAATTTTAACTTTTGAGTACAGATGATCCGCACTGTATAAATAAAAATCCGGTTGTTGTCCTTTGTGGTTTTGTAAAAGTTGGTCAATTACTTTGCTGATCGTTAAATTGACCAATAAGAATGATCAAAACTAATTTGTGTTACACTCCGACTGTTCAAGAGATAAGTAATTTCTTTACTGTAACCTTATTTTCTATATAATTCCCAAATTGTTTAGCACATTGATTAATTGGGATATTCTCTCTTAGTGAACGATTAATGTGCTATGAAGGATATTTAATAAATAAAAAAGCGATCACGATCTAGCAGCAAAGATGAGATGTGTTTGCAACAATATCAGACATGTTTGCAACCAATTGAGATGCATTATATCAAAAAGAAGCGTATTTGATGAGCTTGCAACCAATTAAAATACATTTGAGTTTCGACATCCTTCAGGTTCGAGTTAGAAGTTTGTTCAACATCAGCGTGAGGTTTTTCTTTCGTCGAAAATTGACTTCACATTAACTACTTTTAATTTTCTGCCGAGCAGATTATGTTGATATTAGGCTGAAGATTGTGATCTTGCTTATTAACAGTGAATGCATGAAATGATTTGCGACTATAGAGCTTGTATATCGGTTTTTCGATTTCTTTTACATCATCGGATAATAAAAATCAATGGTAAATAATTCCCCAAAATGGACTTTATGTAAACCATTCTGCTCAAATTGTTCCAATAATTGGAATTGTCCGTTTTTTAGGATTTTATTTAAGATATCCATGATTCACATTGAGTGTCGATCACCATTACATTGTAAGTATATTCCTTTACTTTTTTCGATCACGGCGCATTTTCGAAGCCAATGGATTATTATAAACTTCAATGCTCCATTAGCTGTGACAATTCATCTTCAGCGTGACCAACTTCAACACGTATAGGTGTGGACAGAATGAATAATATGAATACACCAAACTTTCTTTTCCATCCGTAATTCGTGCAGATTTATCCATCAAAACAACATTGAAAAGCCTTCCTTGACCACGATTATTGGATCAGGTATAAATCCTTGATTTAAGAACTACATATGCTTTAATGTTTATTCTAAACAAATAATAAAATAAAACAATACATAGCTTTAATGATTAATATTCTCAAAAAATAATTAATATACATACACAGAATAATAAGAGAAATCAATGTCTTTGATTTCTAATGTATCTGAAGAAGGTGCTGTTGATGATTGAGATGGTGATGATTGTTCTGTGACAAGTTGATGTTTTTGGATTCATAGATGTCATTACATCCAGTACATTTAATAAATATGGTTAGTGATAATACTATTTGCTGCAATATTTGATTTTTGATACATAAACATAGTTTGTAAAATAAACTGTTTGCAAACAATTGTTACGGGTTGCAATAGTAAATGGTATTCTTCGTTTATCTATTAATCGTTGTTGGACATGTGATCCAACCAAATAAGAAACTTTAGATAACTGATTCTACGTGTCCATGAAGAATTTAAATTAAATATAATAATATAATAATAAAACAAGAAATTATTGTAATTATCATTATTATTATTTACGTTTCTGTAATTTTCATTTTCGTAGATTTGAGTTATTGAAAATAAAATCGAACAAATTGATAAATGTAGAGATACCGATGATGGTAATAAAAGTAACATGGTAGTGCGTGGTAGAGAGGGTGGTGGTGGTGGTGGTGGTGGTAACTTGTAGGAAAAATCCCCTTTAACATAATAATAATAATGCTTTTTAAGTAACATCATTACTTGTTAGAATAACCAATCGTCATTTGCTATAACTATTATTATTGTTAAAATTAAAATAAAGTAATATACTTTTCATTATGTGCAATGCAGTGGTCGTTTGGGTAGTAATGTGTATGTGGTACGATGGATGAATGAAGAAATCCATGAATTGTTTCGGTAAGGAAAGGTTTAATTTTCAATGATGATGATGGTGGTAGTGGTGGTAGTGGTGGTGGTAGAATATTCAATTTTGAAACCACCACGAGATATAACCTTGCGACCGACCGATCCGTTTCGTAGCCGATAACTGCACACAATTTGAAGAATAACAATATAAACTGACTCGTGTGTAGTATTCAATAATTTCACAAATCTTCATTTTTTGTTTTTGAAAAAAAAAAATCAAAAAGATTCCAAATTCCCATAATAAATGTCCATAATCAATAAGCAACAATATATTTATAAGGGTTAAAAATCTTGAGAATAAAAAAAAGGAAATGATAAAAATAAATCTGAAAGAATTAACTATATATATATATATATATATATTGTCTATTTAATCATTGGTAACTCAAGGATGATAATTGAAAAAATAGAATATAAAAAAAAACCGTTACATGGTAAATAATACCATATAAAACACAGCATCTCTCTTTCACTTCTTAAAAATATTCCTTTTTTTTAAATAGTGATTTTTATTTTTATTTACGAAACTTTTAAAAGGTTAATCTTTTTGTGGAGGAGATGGAGATGGAGGAGATGAAGCAGGCTGACCGTTTGGAGATGAAAATTCTTCCTTTATAGGTGCTGGTGGTGGTGAACGTGACGCACTCCTCATTTCAGCATCCTTTGGTGGTGGCGTTGATGTTGACATTTCATTTTTAACTTCAATTTTTTCATCACCATTTGTTGTTGTTATATCTTTTGCTGGTGATCTAGAACGGGTACGACTTCTACGCGCAACAGAGGACCGGGCACGATCTCTTGTACGAGAACGTGATCTTGAAAGAGAGCGTGTTTTAGATTTTGACCTGTTTCTACTGAGTGGTGTACGAGAACGTGAACGTGAACGTGAGCGAGAACGTGAGCGAGAAAGAGATCTATGTCTTCTGGTACGTGATGGCGGGGTTATGGAACGACGACGATGAGGTGAATTTCTGCTGCTACTTTCATAACGCCAAGATCTAGATGGTGCATTTTTTGCCCACTAAATAAAACAATATTGATTTAAAAGAATGATTTAATCAATCAAATATTTATCTTATATGTTTATATATAATTAATATATAATAAGTATTATTTTAAAACCTGAATATTTAAAGTATATCCATAAATTCTACGACTGTGCATTTCATAATAAGCATCCTCAGCATCTCTTTCATCTTCAAATTCAACAAATGCATATCTTTTTTGTAAACATGATATTCATAAAAAAAATAATTCTCTAGAATTAAAAATTATTTCTTTCAACATATATTATATATAAAAATTAATTAATCAATATTTACGGCTTAGATTGATAACTTCTCGGAGCAGGAATGTCACATCGGATCAAACGTCCATATCTGCATTAATATATATATATATATGAATAAAAATTAATAACTTGTGAAGTTTTCTTAAAATACTAAATAATGGAATGATAAAGTGTTTAATCGTTTCATAATACCTTTCAAACTCATATGCCAAATCTCTTGCACGTATTTGAGAGCCAAAGCCAGCTACAAACAAGGTTGTTCTTCGACTACTCATCTAGAGAAATTTATTATTTATGTATATATATAAAATCTAGAGCTATTTTTCTATTATTAAAAGTGCTTTATATTATTGAAACTCGGTATTATTTAATATCACTATTATTATCTCACAAAATATTTATTTATCGTTGAAGAACTTCTTCACTTTCTTGATATAGAGGATATAGAGATGTTAAAAAAGTGAAATCATGCAAAAAATCCTGACCAATTAAATATATAAATCCACGTTTAATCTTTTAAAATGATTGTCACACGATTGTATACTAAAAGTGGAAGATTTTATAAAGAGTATACATAAATGGTAGAATCGAATAAAATAGAAAAATTACGCGTAACTTAGCAAAAAAAATTTTTTTTTACTTGAAGAAATAATTTAATATAATAATATGACAACACATCGCCGACATTCTTTTTCTTCTTCCTTATCTTATGAAACAGATGAAATCGATGAATTTAATGAATTTAATGGTTGGTTTAAACATTATAATTATTTTTCTAAATTCAAATCAAATAATCAAATATTTATGCATGTGTATAGATTATTCTGGATTGATAGAGGAAAAGATAATGAATGAAGAATATAAGATCTGGAAAAAGAACTCATCGTATTTATATGATTTGCTTATCGCAGATACACTTGAGAGTACTTTGTTTACGTGCCAGTGGTTTAAAGATTTTTATAGGTGAGTGTTTATATGGTATTATTTAATTATTGCCTGTCTATTTGGAAAAAACATAATTAAATATAATTTTTGCGTGTAAAGAGGCGAAGACTACAGAATGCAAAGAATATTGATGGGCGTACATCTAAAAAACGATCAACAAAACTATATTCAGATTGGTGCTGTAGAATTACCATTAAATGGCGCAACTATTATGAGTAAAAGAAGTGAAGAAGGTATCTATATTATATATGCGTTTGAATATAATAAAAGTGTATATACTACATCCAAATTCATCTACACACCTACATATATATATATATATATATATATATATATATATATATGACTGCAAATATATTTGTAATCAATAATTTTATATAGGTATAAATGGAAGTTATGATTATAACTATGGAATATTTAAGAATGAATGGATTGAAAATGATGACGGGGATGTACCTAATTGTAAAAGGTTATCGATTGTTCAAATGATAAAACATGAAGGAGCAATAAATAGGGCAAGATACAATCCTAAAGACCAAAACATTATTGCCACCAAGTCAGAATATAAAAATGTTTATATATTTGATAGAGCAAAACATCCCGATAAACCTGCTAATACCAGTAGTTCATGTCGACCAGAATTAACATTAAATGGTCACACAGAACAAGGGTTAATATTTAGGTTTTTAGATTTTTTTTGAAAAAAAAAAGGAATTTATTAAATGAAAATTTGTGATTAATATATAGACATGGATTATCATGGAATTCATTTAAAAATGGACATATTATTGACTCATCTAAAGATATGACAATTTGTTATTGGTTTGTATCTAATCTTTTAAATTGTATAAATAAATATTCACATAATAACAATAATTATAATAACAATTATCATTATTATTGCTATAATATTCTCAAGGGATATTTCTGGCAATAGTGATGGAAATATGATGGAACCATTGCGTATATTTAAAGGACCCAAATCATGCATCCAGGTAATTAATTGATTAATCATTAATATCTAATGATAAAAATCAAGCTCGTAATATTTGGATCTATAATTGATAATATTAATCAATTAATTAAATTAGGATGTTGAATGGCATGCTTTTAATCCAAATATGTTTGGATCTGTGGATCATGATAGAAATCTTTTGATGTACGTATATTGTTATTTTTATATCACGTTGATATTACTTTTCAAATTTAATGATAAAGAATAGACTTTTTAATAAATATATATCTCATTTTGATTGATAATTAGTTGGGATTCACGTTGTAGTTGTCCAGTAGGATCAGTCCAGGCACATGAAAAAGAACTCACAACGTTAGCATTTAATCCAATAAATGAAGTTGTATTGGTAACTGGTTCTGCTGACAAGGTGACCAAATGACTAATCAAATAAATAATATAAATAAACAAACAATTAACTAGATGAGTAAATAATAAATATATGTATTAATTCTTTGAATATTTATACGTATATATATACAGAATCTTAATTTATGGGATATCCGTAATCTTAAAATTAAACTGTATACACTTAAGAATCATGAATCTAATATTGTTGATGTTAAATGGTCACCACATGATGAAAATATTTTGGCATCTGCATCAGCAGACAAAAAAGTTAATCTTTGGAATATAAATAAAATAGGAGCTGAGCAAACAAGTGAAAAAGTAGAAGATGGACCTCCGGAACTGTTGGTAAGTGCTAGAGATACAATATATAGTTAATATATTAATGCCATTGTTGTTATTATTAAATATCGTTAATTGTGTAGTTTATGCATGGTGGACATATTGATAAAATTTCAGAACTAAGTTGGAATCCTCTTGTGCCACTGATGATTGCTAGTACCGCTAATAACATTATTCATATTTGGCAACCAGTAATAAAATATTATTATTATTATCTAATTGGAGTCTTCAAAATATGTATTACTAATCTTTTTTTATTATTCTAATGATTATTAATAGTTATTGGGAGTGCTTGAAGAAGATTCATCTGATGAATTCTATGGATAGATATAAAAAAAGGTCAAGTATAACAATTATGAATAGAATAATATTCGATATTAATAGCAATAAAAAAATTTGTATAAATAGATGACGATCTTTGCAAAAAGTGTAAAAAAAAAAAAATCCCTTGGGAGATATGAAATGTAACACGCAATTGAAATTATATATCATCATGCGAAAAACTCCAGCGATTATTTTTTTCTTCATATTATTACTATGTTGTTGTTTTTGGTATTATCAATGAATATTTACTGCCTCTTGTCTAAATCTGTTTTCGAGATGTTGATCCTCTTGTCTTCTTCCTCCAAATCCTTTTGTAAACGACCGACAATTCCTAAAAAGGAAAACAAAAAAATTTTATTAATCAATTCAATAATAATAATAATGACAGTAGCAACATATAAATACCTTTTGGATCGTTTGAAGCAGGAGGATGTACAAGATGTTCATCGTCTTGCCATTTATCTTCTTTTGTTAGGGGTTTTCCCTCCATTGCGTCGAGTGGCAAATCTTTATCATGTCTAGGTAATGCGTGAAAAACCACCGAGGAATTTGGTTCACGACCTATAGAAGTTTGTTGCTGTTGTTGTTGTTGTTGTTCCCGTTCTTTTTGCTCTTTTTGTTTTCTTGATTTTATTTCTTCTTCCCAATCCTTTTCTAAATGCCCGACTATTCCTAAAAATTATAACAATAAAAACCAATTAATTCAATTATATAAATAATAATATTATAATATATAATAATACCTTTTGGATCCTTTGAAGTAGGAGGATGTACAAGATGTTCATCGTCTTGCCATTTATCTTCTTTTGTCCGGGGCTTTTCTTCCCTCAGTTCATCAAGCGGCAAATCTTTATCATGTCTAGGTGATGCATGAAAAACCACGGAGGAATTTGGGTCACGCCCTATATAAGAATAAGATGAGTTGACGTTGAATTAGTTGATTTGGAAATTACAGTTTTTATTTATTATTTATTATTCATGATTACATACCAATTATTGGATCTTGGTTTTTTTTCCAATGAGGCATTCTTTGACAAAAAATTTTATTATTTATGATATAAAAGGTGTAAAAAATTATTATTATTAATGAAAAAAATAAATGATTTACGTATTAATTTATACGTAAAAAATAAAATTAACGATTCTATAATTGGATTGAGTACGAAATTCTGATTGGCTAATTTGAGTTTCACGCGCAATGACAACATAATGTCGAAATGATACATTTGATTACTTCATACTTGCTCTATGCAACAAAGGTCCAAAAAACTAATAATAATATCCTCTTCCATATTTAACATTGGTTGAGCAAAAATCATAAAGTATAAATTCAGTAAGGAATTATTTTTTTCCCCTCTTGCCTTTGTTGATGCAATTTTTCCTTGGTTTGAAATTCTTACAATTGCCATTAAAATTCCAAAGTATAAATTAACAGGGCTTAGCTATCTTTTGAGGGATACCGTCAAATTCATCTCAAGCATTATTAGGTTTATTTATTGAAAAAATATTTTTTTTTAGAAAACATTTAATCCGCAAAGATTTCACGATTGTAAAATTTTATGTGAAACGCAAAAAGATTTTTCCACGATTGTGAAAATACCTGGGGATTTGTTGGGAAATGGTTAGAAAGGGTAAAGAAATTATTGTAAAAACGGTTGTCACAGCCAAAGATTTCACAAATGCGAAACCTTTATCAAATACATTGAAATCATTGTGACAATATTACAAGACATGAAACTTGAAACTTGTTTGGATATGTATAAAAATCATCCACCACGCCTCTTCCTGCATTGTTTATACCAAGGGCTGCGCATAATTTCGTCATTCTTTGTTTACTAATATGGAATTACAGATACCTTGTCAAAAATATAATTTAATAAATCTCAAGGTATTTTCACAAATCTTTGAATTTCACATAAATGAAATCTTTGTGACTTAAATTTATCACACCAGTATCATCTCTCTTTTCTGAATATATCTTTTATTTCTTTAAGTAGTGATGTCGACGTCGTTTTCGTTTTCGTGTCATTATTGCTCGTTACAACCTCACTCCTACCTTTTGAAATTTTGTACGTAATAATCTCCCGATGCCATCTATCCAAATGATAGGCTACTATGACCGCCAAATCCTGAGGGATAAGATGCAATGAAAAAATCAATGGGCTCTTTGTCATTTTTCAGATTCCTGTCAAAGTCTTTATATGCGAGGCAGTTAAAGTGCTATCATGGTGGTTAGTTTTTTAAATCTGAAACTTAAACTTGACATATATGAAAACCAAGTTTTGAGAAATCAATATTTTTTATTTGCGATTATTTAATAAATTTTTTTATTTACTGTTATTTCTTATAAGGGAAAACCTTTTTAACCTATTTATTTATTTATTTAAAAAAGAAAATTACCGAGAACTCATTTTTTACATATATAGTAATAGTAATTTTACGTCTGATAATCAAAATATATAAAAACTTGCTGAAGGTTGAGTTTAATTCAAAGCACGATGAAATTCCGTATCATGCAAGGCGTGATGAGCTTCCGGATCGAGGAGTTTCTGTATTACCCAAAGCGCAATGAATTCGCGTATTATATTCGTGACATTGATATCGTACCTTTTCCCATCGTTTCTTGATATTATAAAGAAACAAGAAAATCGAGTTTATTATTGATGTTTATACAAAATATTTATATAAAATGACTAATATTTATTTACCTTTAAGACAACTTTTATCAAACCAAACTTGGTGGGATCAGATTGAAATTTTGCAATGATATCATTGATCATAGCCTCTTCTTCTTTCCAGTAAATCTCGAGTGTAGAAACCTTGCCGACTATTTGCAAAACATTTCTGATCAATGAATCAATATTTTCATCTCTATCATATAGATTTACATCAATTTGACGTATCTCCTCTTTCAATTTTTCCGCTTTTCCGTTTAATAGAAATGAACTAATTGCGCAATAAATTGCAACAATAGCAACTATAAATAATATAACAAATATTTGCGGTATTGTACATCCGGGATAGAAAAAAACGAGAACAAGCGTTCCAAAGGTTATGGATTGATTCGAAAAATAATTAGATTTATCGGTTATTTCTCTCAATTCATTTTCTTTCACCGGCTTTAATTTTTGATTTAACAAAATCTTCTCATTATGCTTCTGGATTTCATTATATATATTCGATAACTTTGTTCTTATATTTTCATAAGAGTTGGTCAATTTTTCTGCATCTGCCTTGTTAATTCGCGCGTCCTCCAAAAGCGTGTTTAAAGTATAAGCGATCTCATCAGCTCCGTACTCTGGGTTTTCAAGCGTATCTAAGAATATAAACACATCGCCGGCACGATGGTAAAGTCTTGAACTCAAACTTAATGATCTTTGCAAATTTGAATGAAATTCTGAACGTTGGACACTAAGTTGATCGATTTTTTGCGCCAAACACAAGTTTTTTGCTTCAAATTCGGAGCAATTCTTGAAAAGCGCAATCGCCTTATTTACAGCTGCGATGGTCGCACTTAGTTCTAATTCTGTTACTCGAGGCATTTCTTGGAACATATTTTCGTTATTATCAATGGTCAGGAATTTAAACTTTTTTTTTATATTATTTTGGTATTTTAATTATCACTAATGACAATGAACTTGTTAGTGCAATTGACATTTCTACCTTTTTTGGGTAAGTGCGAGCGATTGAACTGGATTTATAATTTTTTGGACGATCTCAAAACTTATTATTAGTTATCGTTAAAATATGATACAAGAATTTAAGTGCTCTGTTAGTTATTTTTTACTAAATACTTAACAGCGTCCTGAGTCTTTGTCTGTTCTTGATGAAGGTAGCGTGAGAAGTGTGAGGGGAGGAAACCGGGTTTGAGCAAATAACTAGCCGTTTGAAGATTTTCTTTTTGTAAAAACCCATTTATAGAAGTGATTTTTAGGATGTGATTGATGATATGTAAATTAGTCGATACATATCTGACGTTTCTATGTAGATGTGCTTGTCCACTTTTGCAAATAATGGTAACTAAAATCATGGATATTATTACTGATGCTACTGGAAATGAATCACTCTCAATCGCCACTTTCTTTTTTTTTTAAAAAAGAAACAAAAGCATTTTTATTTTTGCTCTTTAAAGTCGTTTCCTTACAGTTTATATCGAAATAATGATTTCTATAGATCAATGGGATGATTTGGTGTTTCCAGATAACGTTAGCTTACAAAGAACTGTTAACGATGTGCTAGAAAATTTTCGCCAAGCGAAAGAAACAATTTCCAAAATTCAAATCAGAGACGAGATTTCAAATTCATCAACCAAATTATTTGATGAATTTGATATCGAAATCTTAAACAATGCGTTTAATGATAGAAGTAATGAGTTTAATGGATTAATCGAAAAAAAGGCCAACGAGTCTTTAAGAATGTCAATGTACATTAAAGATCTTGCGGAATATTTTAAGGAGATCTCCCAAAAAAATACTAGTGTAGATGTTATATTGGAAACATTGTCAACATCATTGGATTTAGCAAAAGAAAGGAAATCCATCGCAGAAAAATTAAAGGATGATTTCAATCAATTTATCATTCCGGGCTTCAATTACTTTGGTATTGCTATCGCTGACCCGCCTATTAACAACAAAGAGTTCAAAAGATCGAGAAGAAAAGCGACTTCTTTTAATATAATTTTATTACTATGCGCATTAAGTATCTTTGCTATTGCTTATATTTTTCCTATTTACATTGACAACGCAATATCTAAATTTGGAGACTTCAGTAATATAACATCGACTGGAAATAAAGGTTTCAATAATACAACACCGACTGAAAATGGAGGCAGTGGCGATAAAGCTGATAAGAGTGGTATTCCACATAATGTAACTGAAAACTGGATAAAAAATTGGGCATACACTTTCTTTAGCTTCTTCTATTTTAAATCTGAATTTGAAGGCAGTAATACTACAACACAGGCTGGGAATGAAGGTCATGACAATACAGGGACTGGAAATGAATGTAATGGCAATATAAATGGTGAAAAAGAAACTCACAATGATACAAAACCAACTGGGGCTGAAAGCTGTACGAAGAAAAAAAGTTGGTTCGGTAATTTCCTTGGCAAACCTGAATTTGAAGGCAGTAATACTACAACACAGGCTGGGAATGAAGGTCGTGCAAATACAAAGGATGACAAAAAAACTCCCCCTGATGACGTAAAACCAACTAAAACTGAAAACTGTACGAAGAAAGAAGAAAAGGAAATCCTCCCTAATGACATAAAACCAACTGAAATTAAAGGCCATAACAATAATACATCCCAAGTCAATAATTTTAATTATAGCAATAACTTTATTATAATCATTATTGGTGTCGTAGTTGTAACTTTATTGTTGACGAAAGTTAATGAATTATCTCAAGAGAATACAACAGATCAATCCACTGAAGAAAAGAAAGAAAAAGAAAAATTGTTACGATGTAATGAAATTATTAACAACAAGTTACCGGCTATCGCCACAAACGCAGACATTTTATACCAATTTTGGGAACAGATTATTCCAATTCTCGAATCACATATTGAGGCTCTAGAATCAGTAAACGGACAGACGGATATTAAGTTACCCCAACTTTATGTAAGAATAAAAGAAAAATGGTTAGAAGAAGAAAATAATTGCAAATCAAGTTACTATGCGTTAAAAAATAGCGTGGCGAAAAATGGTCTGATGTTTAATGAAACAAATAATTCAAATTAATAAAAAAAAAAAGCTTTTAAAACTATACTTTATAATCAAATATATTAATAAAATTAATCTACCAATTTAAGTATCTATGTGTGTTTCGTGATCATACATTATTCCCAATGTTGTAATGCAATACGGCGAGATTGTTTCTGCAGTCTCATAGTCAACTGAATTATTATCCAAGAGAGGTTTTTTTTTAAATTTTAGTAGGGCCAGCTATCTCTTCTGAATCACATTTCAGTCTATCTATTGTAAAAAGTAGCAGACGACCTGTGGTATTCTGTTAGGCGAAACATAGTAACCTAAAACGAAAATAAATTTCAGTAAAAAAAATTTAATTGCTTAAATGATTATTATATTTCTAAAAATTATTCACTAATCCAAAAGCTATTGTAAAAAAAAAATCTGAATTTTTAAGTAAATTTCAAATTAGCCAATCAGAACTTTGTATCCAAACATTCCACCCTTAAAACTTTTAATTATAAATTTCAACACGATTTTAATTTTGACCCACAACACCAATAAGCAAAATACATATGATAATTAGTCAATGAAAAGCTATACATCATATAATATCTAGAGAGATCAGCGATAGCTAATGATTTTCTGCTACAAAGTAATAACACCAGTTCCCAGATGATACTGTTGTATTGTCTCATACTTGTGTGCATGAATGGACAAGCTTTATGGTGATACCAACGGAGAAAATGAAATAAATCGATCTAGTTGGTTCAAATGATATGTATTTCAAAGAAAAGGCACCAAAGAGATAACCTGCCAAGAAGTGTTTTTCATTAACCGTATAGCAATCATAAAGGGAAGGGTTAAATACATACATCGCAATACAGATAAGAAACGTCTCAAAGCAATGACACTCTGACGAAATATATTTATCGCCAGACGAAAAGAATAAAACGTTCTGACGAGAATTGTTACGGCGCAGATCAATTACTTTAAAATTCTATAAATTTAGGTACAGTTTGTACTGTGTTTACTGATTATATTAATATAGTCGTTTTTGCACGGATAAAAAAATATGCCTCCATTTTAAATTTTTGATAAAATGGCATATTTTACAAACATTTAATCATTGTTTTGTTACCAGTGTTATAAGGCAGGGATTAAAAGTTCAATGATTGTTAGATATTCATCATTCATTAGCTGAAGAGATGCTTTAGCCAGGATTGGTTCTGAAGGATATGATGTAAATAATCTATTCCGTGTTTTATAGGTGTTATAGCTTGACATTAATTCAGTTGAATAGTGAGATTATGGTACTGCATTGGGCCAAGGATCGTTAACGAAATGTTCACTTTTACTTCTCGATGTCCTGGATAGTCTAATAGTTGACAAGCAACCCTTGTCAGTACTTGTCGTGATTAATCCAATAAGCATTCAAGCAATTTGCAATTTTTCGTCATCAATAAACGCTCAAAAGAAACAAGGGCTTTGGATTTCAGCCCAGGATAAACGACTGTATACGATTAAACAGATTAGTATTTGTCATAAAATTGTCATCCTCTGGGTTTGAGTAGATATCTAGTAGGTAATACGTGCCAAACAAGTAAATCGTGCCGAATACTAGCCACTTTATGGGATGGGTCGAAAATTGTATCAATTAATATCGCAAAAAAATCGTTCCATTTTCATTTATCGCGTAATGCTAATCGATTACTGATCCTATGTTTTATTGGCCATAGTTGATTTATCAAAAACAAAAGTTAGGTTCTTCCTAACCATTATTGATGCGAGCTTCCCTACACATTCTGACAACATGGCTTTGAATTAATGATACCCGACGAAAATGCTTTGTAAATGGGAAATGATTTCGTCTTATTTGGCGAAATGACGAATTAAATATTGTAATAATAAAATTTTCAATGTATATGTTCGTTAAACTTTTTATTGTAATAGTAAAAAAGTTTTTTATTTATTATTAAAAAAAAATTTGTTGCACGAAATTAGTCTCAAATTTCTTTATGTAACAAAATTTGGAATTTTCAAAATAGCTAACAAGGAAAAACTAATTTTGAAGCTTGAGTAGTGAACAATAAAACTTATCAGTTAACTTTTTTTTAAAAATTTTTATTTTAGTATTTTGAAGTTGCTATAAACAACTTCTGTGCAGCAAGCAAGGTCGGCATAGATTGACTTAAATATCCCAGTCTATTTACAACAACAAACTGACATTGCATTTTTATAATAATCTATCCTTCATCTTGGTGCAGGCACACAACTGGGTAGTGAAATTTAAATTTGCCAAAGCAAAAATTGGATCAACCCTTGCAGAAATTGAAGGTATTCCAGCTCGATCATATTTGTCTTTATACATGTAGCTCAGTGTTGTGACCAGAAACTCTTTTAGCTTCCCGAAACGTTTCGGAAAATGAACTTACACTAAGCAGAAATCTAAACCTAAACCTAAACCTAAACATAAACTACTAACCTAAACTAATTTCGGGTGGTTTCTGTTAGTTTCTGTTTCTGGTTTTCCCTAAACTCAGAGTTTCGGGTCACAACACTGGTGTAGCTTGGTGCTAGTACAATCAATGTTATTTCAATAGATGAAGAGATGAATGATGTTGATAAAAAGAAGCCAAAACTTGGAGAGATGAAGCTTGAGAAAAAAATTCTAGGTTTTCGGATTATCCGCTGAAATTTATCCATTCCTCTCAAACATTAGCCCAAAACCTCTACCGTCGCTAATGGGATCAGAAAGTGCATTTTACCAACAAATCAAATCCTGTGACATTAAATTCGCCATTTGACTGGAAGTCAATTTTCCGTCTTTGTCAATCACATCACCTAAAAAAAAGAAAATTTTCTTCACTTGAAAGAATATTATCATCAGATGGTATGGAATTTGTACATAAAAATTATAGTGAAATTCATATATAACAAACAAAATGACAATCTTTTCAAAGCCAATAATTATATGGTACCAAACACAAGGTTGAATCCCTTATTATATAAATTGCATCTTCATCTAATCCATCAATAAATGATGATAAAAGGCGGTGAGGTAGAGATTAAAATTATTTATTTCTTAGTGTTAATGATTGAATTAATCACACAAGTGGTAGTCAATTTAAATCATTGTTTTAAACAATTTATTTGAAATAAAATTATTTTAAATCTTCAAAAGATTTTTTTTTTTTAATATTGTAAAATTTTTTTTGTTACATCAACTTCTATATACTTTAAACTTCCTTTACTTCCTATTTTGATAAAAATAAATTTAAACGTTTGCTTGTTTGTTTGTTTTATGGTGCACCTAGTCCCACAACATTGCTGTGCCACAACAACATTTTGAGGAAATCAAAATTTGGTTTGTCACGTGATATTTTAAAGACATTTCATAAATACTGAAATATGGACAATAGTATGTTACCTAATATGGATATGATCTTCAACAAAAAATTCAAAAACCTTACCCTCCAAAAAGTATCTGGACGAGGTTTTTTAATAATTACGCAAAATGCCACATGACAAAAGTACATAAATTTATATTATAAATGGCTTAATTTTGGCGAATATATGTGGAAAATCTCGTTTTTTATCATTCTTTTATGATTTTTAGTTAAAAAAAAAACAAACGTCAGCCAAAAAATTTTTATTTTTTTTATTTTTTTTAAAAAATTAGTATTCTGTTGCCACACGTTATTAGAAATTCATGTTTCAATTATTCTTTGGCATACTTTCAATAAGACTATGTAACCCACTCTGAAGGAATTTGAGACTTTCATTGCAACCTCTAACTCCCAACTCTGTTATGTTTTTTGGGCGACCACTTCTTGGTGCACTTTTTAAATTTTCCGCATTCTCATAATGTTTGATAGTGCCATGAACTGTAGACTTTGGAATATTAAGTGCCTTTGCGATTTTTGCAAGAGAACTACCGCCTATTCTTAGATCTAAAATTTTCCTCGCTCAGCTTCAGTTAATTAATTTTTCCCATTTTTAAAAATTAAAAAAGATTGTAAAAAAAATTTTTTTGATTAAATCAATTTTATTGGTATCAGTTTATTTTTAATAATAAAGCTTTTACGCGTGACAAGAACATAAAGTTTTAGTCATCTATTTATGAGGACCTAAACTACAAACTATGAAATTTTTATTAAATTTTATAATATAAAATTTTGAGAAACATAAAATTTTTAAAAAATCATCAAGAAAATCCTCGTGATTTATTTAGTAATCGCTTTTTTTTAAACTAAGAATCATAAAAAAAAAGATAGTAAAATGGGATTTTATATGTAGAGTTGCAAAACCTAAGCCATATATGATATAAATTTATGAACTTTCATTATGTGGTATTTTGCGTAATTATTAAAAAAACCTCATCCAGGTACTTTTTAGAGGGTAGTGTATATTAATAGATGACGATGGTGGTGGTGTGGTTGTTGTTGAGACATTTTCAAAGATTTTAATTTAAAAAATTTTAATCGTGTAGGATTGTAGGAATTTATTAAAAGAAAATCTTATTTTTATTTATACAGATTTTTGGAATTTGATAATTCATTGTTCGTGTTATCTTTTTATTTTAATTAAACAATTTTATTATTGTCTCTCACATTCATATTTTTTATTATTATTTGAAAATTTAAATGTTGTTTGGATTCATCTTTTTTTATTATTATTTCGGAAATTTAGATAAAATACTCTTTAATATTAACTAAACAATTTTATTATTGTTGTTCGCTTTGTTCGCTTCCATATTTTATAAAATGTTCTTTTAATATTAAATCATATCACGTGAATTGGTTGTGGCATGATTAGTATCAATAAATTCGTTGTCAGTATATAAAAATTCAATGTGTGGGTGTAACATCATACACTAGCACCGAAATTTATAAAATTTGAAAACCGATGGAAATTCGCTGAAACAAAACGAATTCAGTGTATTACGTTACACGTATCAAATCAAAATAGGGTAAAGCTGAAAGTTGAATTGTTTTTGATATATGTAACGTGATACGTTCCATCACCACATAATAATAAATAGTAGTTGGAACAGTATCTCGGAAACTTCTAAATGAAACAATATCAGATATTATATTCATGTTTTTTTAATTAATGTCAATCAGAATTTTTATTCATTCATGATTTTTTATATATATTAAGTTTATACAAGGGTCTATATAACAAATTTACTAATAACAATTTTTTTTTTATTAACACTATATACAGTATATATTAAATTTGTATCATGTAATTTTTAAAAAAATTTCTTTTTTATTACATTAAAAAAAAAAATAGTTTTTGCACGTTGTCTCTTTTTAAAAATATTTACTAATTGATCATAATATATATAGAACGACTTTAAAAAAAAATTTTATATAAATTTTACTCATTCTTCATTGGACATAAAAAATTTATCTTAAAAGTCTTGGATATGTTTTTTACAATTGATTTGTCTAGGACTTCAATTAAAAGTTTCCAGGGGTCCTATTAGAATTGTCGGAATGTTCCGATGCTCCAATTTCATTGGAAGTTCCACAACAAATACGCCACAATTAAAAAAGCAGGCCGCAATTAAGTCGCAACCAACAAAAGTTTCTTGAATCAGATAGTTATATGCATTTCAGTTAATTGTTAACGTACCAAAACACTATTACGCATAAATACAACTGAGAATGAGAGATTGAGCTATAATATATATTAATATAAAATTTTTTAAATTTTTTTTTTTAATTTTTTGTCATGACCAAAGATGATTATCATATAAAAAAAATTAATCTTTATATTCCTATTTATGTAAAATTCAAGTGTTTTTTTTTTAATGCAAATACTTTAATAGTGATATAAACCATTTTGCCTCTTCCGGGGAATTTGAACCGATGTTAATCACGGTGAATTTAGCGAAATTTCATTAGGTGCAGCAAAAATATCACGAACAAATGTTTTACAAATTATAATAGTATCAAATCCAATAAAGGGTAAATTATCGAAAGAGCTTGACTTAGAGAGTGGGGATACTTCAAAAAAGAAAGTGACTTAATAAAAGAGATAGAGAATTGGCACATGCAAATGAAAACAAAATCGTAATGATAATATAATTGCTATTACTATTATTTAGAAAACGAAATAATCGGGAATTGTCGCTTCTGCTTATGAGTCAAATGCTATCCCCAAGAAGATGATTGATGGGTAAGTTTATTGCCATAATTAGTGCAATTGTGGAGCTTAGGGATTATAATGTGGTGTAACAAAATTTCTATTATGCGTGGCAAAATTCTTTTTCGTTTATTATATCATTATTAATATTGTGTAGTACAAGACCCAGATGTTGTTTTTCCATGACGCATCCCTTTAACAAGTGTGTCACAATATACAGAGAATTCATTATAATAATTATAATAGCTTAAAAATCCGTAAAGTGTAACATTTTAAAAGGAATAAAATTTGCACACGATAAACTTGGCGCATATTTATGCACGCAAGAAATCTTTAATAACATTTAGAAAATATGCAGATTAAATATTTATTTATTTTTTAAAAAAAGTTTCATTCAGGTCAAATCAAGTATGTGTAACATAAATACATAAACAAATCATGTATTTAGATTTTACCTTTGAAAAATATTATAATTATAATAATAATGAGAACCTAATTGAAGACGATTGCAACGACGTGGTTTTTTCTCTGTGGTTGTTGTTCTGTCTATATTAATCTACAAAATGACGCTTATTACCCAAACTTGGAATTAACAATGCTTTTTCAATTAAAAAATTTTTTTTGCACATGTGTTAGATAAATTACCATTGAATCGAAAAAAAATTCCAAGATTTTATTGAAAAAATAAACGTAAAATTTCCCGGAATTGATAAAAAGGTTTTGTTTTACAAAAAATAAATAAATAAATCATCCATCTATCTTTCCTGATTAACTATGCAAAGTAATAAATAATCTTACAAATAAATATAAATCCCGTAAAATGGATAATATAAACAATTAATAAATCCATATTTGGGATAATCATATAGTAATTAAAAACGATCATTGAGGGTCGTAATCAGGTTTACAAATGTAGATATGCTATTTGTATTTACATATAATTCGTGCATGGATTAAAAGAAGCAGAAGAAGTTTTTCTTTTCGTTTAATTGGTGTATAGTGCGTTACCGAGAAAAGATCTAAAATTAGAAAATAATAAAGAAAATGTTAAGATCACACCCGTGTCAACATTTTATCAACTTTAAAAATGACATGTGACTATATGCGCTTTTTTATATTATTCTTTATTTAATATGTGTAAGAAGTAGCGGAATCAATGTCCTCCAAAAGATTATCAAAGTTTTATTGTTTGATTGGTTTGATACAAATAGATCAGTTAACCGCAATTAGCCATCCATCCTTCTTAAATTATTAATAGATATCCCTATATTTGCAGTTTCCTTTGCACAAAGATGCGATGATAAATAAAAAAAATTCTTTTTATAGCAAGTACTTGATTTATTTGCTAGATTCGCACAAAAATCAATAGAACACGCGTTTAAATTTGATTTTTTTGGTCCGATTATCATCATTGTCAATTACACCAGTCATTATTGTAAAACAAAGAATTTATTGTTTATTAATAAATAATAAATAATAAATAAATGAAATATTACGGCAATGATAATAATAACGCGTAATTTTGTTCGAGAAAAATTACGGATCAAATTATTAATTACCAAAAAAGGAAAACTGATTGTAGAGGTAGATCCCAATGAAAACTGATTATATTAATATATATGGATTTTTTCGATGTTAATGTTGTTGGCTGCATGGATCGATTTCCTAAAATATAACATAAAATAATTTAAATAATTTAAAAAATGTGTGTCGGAGTACAGCTACCGAATTTTATACCTCGGTTGATGTATAACAATAGCATTTTAAATCTCCGGAAGGTAACAATAAATAAACAAAACAAAAAAAATAAATTAATATTAACATTTTGAAATTTATTTTCTTTGTATAAAAATAGCAGAATTTTTTGCCTTGGAAAAATTTTTTTGTTTTAAAAAAAAATACTTATATTTTTATATAAATATACATACTGCGTGTGTATATATATATATATATATATATATTAATATATCTGCCACTTTCTTTACCCGCTTTCTTCCTTTTTTTCATCATTTATTTCCCTCTTTAAAAATATTGTAATAACAAAAATACATTAAAAATGACGAAAAATAAAAATAAAAAAAGTGTAAATTTAGACGATATATCAATCGAAGATATAGCAAATAGGTTAGTCCAAAGATTAGATAGGGGACATATATTTCCACCGTATTATAACGATCCAGAATACTTTATACCAACCGTGTCCGGTAAAAAAAGTTTTCATAAACCCAAACGTCCACAAAACAGTTTCTTATTGTGTAGAAAGAATGTTCATAATGAAGCAAAAAGACAGGGTGCATGTAATATGAGAATTGTTAGTAAAGTCACTGGAATTTTGTGGAGAGATGCCTCACTCCAAGAGCGTCTGGTCTATGAAAGATTGGCAGATAGAGTAAACGAACTTTTTGATCAGAAATTCAACTCATATTTCATTAAATATAATAACGATAACAATGTTAATAAGAATAATAACAACTATGTCAATAATAATGGTGATGGTGATGATGGAAATTTGTCATATACTAAGAACTCATTTACTTCAAATGATCATGTACAAGTCATAAACCACTCATCAATTGATAATTTGACTCTTCCTTTATTATCGCCATCATCAACATTCCAATCATCTTCGTCGTTATCTCCTTTTCCACCTTTTTCTACATCAACGTCTTACTCTCCTTATTACAACAGGAGATCTGCCCCACCTTGTCCAAAAACTTCGACTCCATTTTCAATTTCGATTCCAACACCGACAATAACACCTTCACGAACTCCAGAAACAACTCCTACTCCTACGCCAGAAATAGCTCAAGAAGGATTAGAATTATTTCCATCATTAGCAACAACTCTGGCAACAATGCCGACGGCAATAAAAGTGGTACCACCGGAAACAGGACAATCATTAATTCAAGATATGACGACAGCAACAACGACGACGACAACGACGACGACGACAACAACAATCGATAATAACATTGTTTATAATAATTTTGATGATTATAATGATTATAATTATTATAACAACATTTTGCCGCTTCTAAATATTGAAAACTATTCACTAATTGACGATACTGAATTATTCAATCTTTATCTATTAAGTTTATTTCAATAGCCGTAATAATCAATATGTATCTATTTTACTAATAATTCACTAATAATTTACTACTAATGATAATAATAATAATCATAATTATAATTATTAAAAATATATATTTCAAGGTTGAAAATTTTCTATAAACTTATTGTTATAATATATTATATATTAAGATTACGCTATGTATTTATAAATTACATTTATGCATCTATAGTAAAAACTTTATAAACCAAATTTTTAAAGATTTTTGATTAAATATTTAACCAGTATGTATTCTGCTAATTCGACCCTCCTGTGTCGATGATGTTATGGAATTAATGGGGATTTTAATATTTCAACTAACCTCGTTTTATACTTTCACTCGTCATCTAAAAAACTTGACTCCCTTTCTTTATTACTCATCAAGGAATAACAATGTATTTCAATTGTTCTAAAAAAATAAAGTTAAAACTCAATCAAATACTATTCGGGAATCAGTTATTACCACACTCGAATTCTATTGACGATACTAATCATTCTTTGTAGATCAATCCCATTACTTAATCATAATATAATATTAAACATAATATTCCATTATCTCTAGGTAAAAATAATCTTGTAATTGCTATCAAAAAAAAAAAAACCCCCCCAAATTAATCGTTAATTCAATAAAAAATTAATATACAGGTAAATATTTACCTGAAAGAAAATTATGGATTGCTAGCATTGAAGAAGGAAACTGTACAAACATATTGTGTCGGTAGTATTATCAGATTGTTGAACAAAATACGAGTTTTGACTATGAATTGTTGGAATTATTGTCGTTGAAATCAGCGTATAATTCTCCTGACTTGGTTTCAATAAAAATGAAAAATCCATAAAACCGTAATTAGGTTGCAACCCCCAATTTTATATGGCGCAACTATGGTTTCAAAAGAAGTCTTATCATCTGACCATACTTTCAAATTAGCACCCTTCCGAACCCCCATCTGGTACTTTGGCGCCGTTTTGAATAAGTAGTTACCATGGCATTTGTTAAAGATAAGTCAAATTCTTGTATAAAATCCGTTCTTGAGAATCTCAAGAAATGCTACCAATTATTAAATAAAAATGTTAAATAGTGATATATTTTAATAAAAATAGGACAAAAATATAAAAATTCAAAACCTTTTACAATAATTCGTGAATTGAGCATATTCCGAGGGATATTGCTGATCCATCTCCTTAATTGTAAATATTCCAAATCTTCACAATTGTCTCTTATTGAATAATAATAAAGTAAGTAATTCTTCTAAACATTCAACGTCAGTTAGATTGCCATTAACATAGAGGGTTTTAAGTGTCCTTCCACTAATTTTAATGAAATCCGATGATAGCTCATAACAATAAATATTTTAATAATAATAAAGATATTCAATTTTGGAAAAAAGCACGATTTTAAATTTTGAAATGTTGGAACAATCAAAGAATTTGTTTTGTTTTTTCCAAATCTTTCATAACTAATTATAGATTTTGAATGAAGTAATATTGTATCCTTGAGATTATCTGATAATATTATTTCAAAGTGTGAAATAAGAACTAATTTTTTATTTGATGTTTTGCTTTTAATTAGTTGAACAATGATATAACTACTGCTAACATTAAAAACTATTCGTAAAACTTGGATATTTTTATAATCTATCAACAAATTCACTACAATAATCAAAACCACAAGAAAATTCATAAAGGTTTCGAAAACATGCATCAAAACTATGACAGTTGATCAACTCCTCGCGTGCACAAGTCTCTTCACATGCTAAATTAATGTATCTAAGCTTTCTTATAATCTAAAATAAGTTTTAGTAACCTTTTTCGTATTGATTTTCATTGCAGCCTTTTAATTAGTGACTTCATTTAAAAATCAAAACGATAAAATTCTAATTCAGTTGTAAATTTAGCATAATTGTGTAAAGGTGGTTTCTCTAATAATTCAAAATTTAATTCGATCTCGTTTTCCGCCAAGAAATCCTTATTAATATGTTGGTGCTGCAATGGAATTGTTTTCTCATAAATATGGGTTAATGATATTATGCAAGAATGTAGTGTTTTATAATTTTTATAATTAATCACTTAAAAGCTCTGATGGTACATTTATAAACACTTTTTATTTAATTATCCCTTAATTCATTCGTGATCCTTTTTAGGATTTTGATGGTGATCGACGGGGTGCATTTGCAACATTTTATACAGCAAAAATCGTCATTTTGTAGAACAAACATTTGGATAAACGTTTTTTTTGCAGAGATTATGGGTGTTGGTCTGTTCCAACTTTTTTTGTTCCTTTTTTTTAATTATTCTACGCCTTTTAGTTCTATAATTATTGTTACTACTATTTTAATCACTAATTTCCGCTTTTTGTTCCTTAACTAAATTACTACGTAATTATGGACAACTGAAAAAGCTGACAAAAAAATGTGAAAAAAGTAGTATATACACAAATGAAATTATTATTCATAACATGATTTTAATTATGAATACATATTCGAATATTCAATGAAATATCCATCCAGTCACACATGAATATTAGGTACTACATACCAAATTAGGTATGCTAAAAATATGGCCGTCCAATCGTGTTTCGGGCATGTGACCTAACTCTTTCGTGTTTTTAATATATATTTTTTATATTCGAATTTTGTTTATTTCATATAAATTAATTTTAAAAGAAAGATTAATGTCACTTTTTGACAAAGTGAAAGAACAATCAATCAACTGTTTAATTAAAATATTTTGGGTTTTGTTTATATAAAAGTAGAGTTTCTATTCGTAATACAAATTACTATTCGAATTATTCATTTTTTTGTTTTATTAGAATTACTCATTTGATTCATTACTCGTTTTGTTCGTTTTATTTGTTTTATCAAATTATTCGTTTTATTCAATAAAAATTATTATTGTTTAAACATTGTGCATGATTAATTATTAAGATTATCATTGCTTATTTGGTATGTAGTACCGAATATTTATCTGAATTTAATAAAAATTCAATATACAGTACTTACCCAAAAGTTTCGGACCCCCCTAAGTTCATTAATTACGCAAAATACTACATAACATTTACACAAAAAATTTATATTTATTTATAGCTTAGATTTTCGAGAAACTATATATAAAATTCCAGGCTTTTAGCACTGATAGATCTCAAATAATAATAAATAAAAAATTTCTGATTAATTTTCGAAAATAAAA